TTTCATCTTATTTCCTTTTTTAGTTACTTGATTCACTTCATTTACAAATTCCTTAAACATGATATATAGTTTTCATCATTTTGCTTTTTCTTTCACTCACCTATTTCATGCTCATGTTCAAAAGATGAAGGTAGCAGAGATGAGGATGCTCAAATGGATGGGTAGGCATACTACAAGGGATATGAATAGGAAAGAAGACCTCCGTAGAGGACAAGGTAAGGAAGCTAGGCTGAGATGGTTCGGGAATGAGCAAAGAAGATGTGTGGATGCACCAATAAAGAGGCGTGGAAGGTTTACCATAAATGGGTGTTAATGACTTAGGAGAGGTCGAAGAATTGGAGGAGCTGATTCGAAAGGGCATGACTCACCTCTAATTGAATGAGGACATGGCCCTAGATAGGAAAGTTTGGTGGTCGAGGATTAGGATAGAAGATTAGTAGGTAGACGAGTGTTGTAGAATCTTTAAGGGGAAGGTCAAAAGGCTAGTCTTCTTTGCTACTTTCCTCTCTATTAGTAGTATTACTATTTAGTACATGAGCAAGTGTTTCCTTACTTTGTTTTATTGTTACCTATCGCTTTATTGGTTGTGTCTATCTTGCCTCTTTGGCCTTTGCTACCATTATTTTTTCTAACTACTCTAGTACTGCTATTTTGTCGTCATATCATTCTTGCAATTATGCTTCAATATTTGTTCTTCAAAGCCGAAGGTCTATCTGAAACAAACTCTCTACCTCACAAAGGTCTCCTACTCTCTACATACCCCACTTACAGAATTACACTAAGTATGTTGTTGTCGTAATTGCAATTCCTTAAACACCATATAAAGTTTTCATCTTTTTTACTTTTTTTCAGCTACCCAATTCCTTAAACATCATACACAAACTAATCAATACAACAAACAAATCACCAAAAAGTTAACATTGCTAGCAAAAGCAATTGTAATTACACAACAAAAACTCTAGCTTCACATACAGATCAAAGCCAAAAAACTCATAACCAACAAAATCTCAAATTCTAACAGAGAAAGAGGAAAAAAAGAACCTGAGATTGTTGATCAACAGATTTAGAAGGAGAAGCTGAAAACAATCGAGAAAGCTTCTCAGAAACTGTATCCTTTACACCATACATATCTATCTACTTGTTTATCTTCGTTTTAACCAATTACCCAATTCAAAATCTTTGAAATTCAGATCAAAAACTGAGATTTCAATGGTTAATTTGAGAAACCAAAATCCAAAAATTTGTTGAAAAAGGCAATGTAAAAGCAAAAGGGGGTATTTTTCTTGAGTTACATTCAGATTTTTGTGATCTGAAAAGCTGGAAAAAAAAAAAAACAGAGGTGAAGATACAGAGCACCGACGAATTATATTAAGAGTTGAAAAACATTTAAGGAGAACGAAAGATTGATATTTATTAGTAGTAGAATTTATTAGAAAAGGATATTCTGATTTTTGACTTTGTACCAATTTTTTTCTTTTTCTTATGACTAGTTGGTTTCGTTTATTTGTTTATCGGGTTTTGACTTGATATAAAATATGAGAAATTGATTGTTTTTATTTATTTGTCTGATTTTAACTTGACGTAGAATTTAAGGAAATAAAGAATAATTATGAATCTTATAATTTTAAGAATATGTGAAAAGGTAGATACATTATTATTGAAAAAGATTAACAAGAAAGATAATATGATAAACAAATTGAGACGAAGATAGGAATGACAGTGTAATGGGGTGGTTGCGGGGTGGGGTGGATTTAAGGCTATGCGAGCGGAGTGCGGGGCATGAGGGAAGGGGGTGAGTTGAAGTGGGTTTTTAAAGTAATGCGGGGCGGGCGGATTGCGGATATATGTGATTTTATGCGAGTTCAAACTTAATTTTAACTAGAGCATTATTTATAAAGATAATTTTTTAAAGCTACTAAAAAATAATACAATTTCGTACATGTTTCCCAATTGACCTCTAAAATATAATTTTTTAAGTCATTATCTATTTAATTAATAAAACTTAATGAAAAATGAATTTATTTTTATGATTGTTATTTTTAGTATTAAACTTAATTAGAAAAAGAAAATATTAAAAAAATTATGCGGAGCGGATCTATGCGGGGTTAGTAAAGCATGTTAAAAATGAAAAAAGTTATTAAGCGACACGAAGCGAATTAAAATTTTGCAGGTTAAACTCTACCTGTCCCACCCCATTGCCATTCTTAAACGATTTTTCTTTAACGTGATGACTCTTTATATATATTAATAATCACATACATAAAGGGTGAATATATTGATCACATATTTCTCAGTGTGATAAAATTAGTTCATATCATTTATATATATATATATATAGTGTTTTGATATAAAATTTTAGTTCTTTCGTATTTTAATAACATAGTCTTTCATGAAGTTAAGGTTTAAAATATGAAAGAAATACGTATTTTCACGACTCTACCACCTAGTAAATTTAAATTTTGCTCAACTTAATATTGTTTAACACTTTAATATTCATTACTTTAGATAAAAAATTACGAAAGTTAAAGATAACAAAAATGTCTATAAATATACCATCCAAGACATGCATGACCTTTTAGGTGTAATTTTGTGTGATCCTTGCTATGTTTAGTATTTTGGTGATTATTTCATGAGGCATGTATAATTTGGATCAATAAATTAATAATCCCTTTAAATATATTTTTATGTTATTTTGATTTTAAAAATTTATTTAATATGAATATATATTCTTTCACCAAATATTTTAACATACCTTGTCTATTTGTTAGATTTTGAGGAAAATTGTGGAGAAATACAACAAGATATATCAAAAAAATATATTATGGTGCCACATCATCGAATTTATATATTGATTTTAACTCATTCACATAGTTAATTTGATCGTTTTATTTTATTTTGTTTTATCTTGGATTTGTGTTTTGAAGTGTCATTACCACGACAGTGACCATAGTAAAGTACATAAAAATGACAAAACATCTTCTTCTAAACCTTAATTAGTAATCATAGTTTTTGATAATAATATTCTTGTCTTCTACTTCAATTTTCGAACAAAACATTCTTCAAAAAGACAAAATATTATATTTGAAAATTATATTAAGAAGAACCTAAAGACAGTTGCTTGGAGCGTATGGTATAGAATAATTATTGTGATTTAAAACCATCATTATTTAACTTAAATAAGAATAAATAACACTATGAAATACCTCCATTTTTTTAATAATAGATTTAGGGTTCAAAATTGAAAATGGAGTAATTTCTAATAAGATATTGAATATATCTCTTATGTTATCCATTTCATGGAATCATTCGATCTGAATACTAGAACATAAACTAGATGATGAAACATAAAAACTCAAGACGTAAAAGAGCATAAGATGAGTTTGGCCGTAATCATATCATTTAAAAATTTAACATATTAATGAGAACACAACTTTTATGTTTTTAATCATATCTTCAAAAAAAAATTTGATAATGAATGATGGTGAGAATTAAATCTACTCAGTTGCAAAAAAAAAATGGAACCTAATCAATTTCAATCTCATCTAAAAGTTTAAATAATAAAACCATCATACATTTTTTTTTCTTACTTATACTTAATATAAGCTTTACCAGTGTTTCGGACGACAAGAGGTGATAAAAGGCGACAAGGGTTTGCCTAGCCACAAGGCGAAGTGAGCGGTGAGGCGCTTGCCTTTTTGAAGTGCGACCCAATTAATATAAAAAAATTAAAATATTTAATTGCATATATAAATAATCAAAATCTCAATAGCAATAACATATAAGAAAATATTTTAATCCAAAAGCTGAAATAGATTATACATACTTAGAACTTGAATGTGAAATAAACAGAACAAAAGTCAAAACAGTGAGAAAAAAAAAACATAAGTAGAAGTGACTCTGAAGAAGAAGGAAAAAGAAACAAAGAAAAAGAAATACATATTGGTTGGACTTTGGAGTCGCCGAAAAAGTCTAGCTAGTCGCCTGAGGAGTCAAGTCGAAAATCCTAAAATTACCTTTTAACATTTAAAACCCTAAATTGGTCGTTTTTTTAAAAAAGAAAGAAAATACAAAAGGCGACATCTTTGTCGCCATGGCGTCGCCTTTTGACGATCGCCTCGCCACAATGTTAAAATTCGATGAATGGTTGCCTCGCCTCTCGCCATTGACAATGAGGCGACCGCCTTTCACAACACTGAGCTTTACTAACACGAATTTAAAATAGTCAAATTAATAAATTCTATATACCATATAACTATTTCAGAAAGAAAAAAAAAACCAAAAATCTTTATGAGGATACCATTTCTAGTTATATCATTTATTACTAATCTTTCAAATCTTAACAACTTCAAGTAAATATATATATTTTTGCAGTTATCACATGATAAAGATTGGTTGCCATAACTATATCAAGCCAATTAATAGATTCACTATATTTATTCAAACTCCATTAAATAATATTCAACTAAAGACAATCAATACAAAACAAATATACCATGAAACTTAGTAAATATTTCAAAATTCAAAATCTTGAAATTTTACAGTATGTTTTTTCTAAAAAAATATTGTAGTTTAGTCAAACTTACACAGTTAATCCATGTTTACTCCCACTCTCTTCACCTCTCTGTTACCTAGGGAATATTTTTTACCACTTTATGAGTTGTTTTTTTATAACCATTTTTTTTGTTCTCATTCTCTAAAATACACCCCCCCCCCCCCCAACCCCCAACCCCCATTTGGCTTTTGTTAGTAAAAAATAGAGTTGGAGGTTAAAAAATACAGTATCAAATTGTCCTTTGTATACATATATATTATATATATACTGATAAAGATACAGATACCCTATTTTTCTCAGTTCTGCACATCCAAAGATAGACAAATAGTAGGCCATTTATAATAATAAAGTGAATCCAAAAACACCACTACAAAAACCAACACCCCTTTTTTCAGAAAAAAAGTAACAAATTTCAAGAAGAAATAGTACTAGTACTAGTGGTAGAATCTCAACCCTTCAAAATCCCTTACTGATATCTTAAGCAAAAAAAAAAAAAACTTCAAGGTGCAATCTTTTTCCTCTCAAAATCTACAAAACAGCAAAAAAACAACAATGGTATAATATTTCAAGAATCTCCAAAAAATGGTAATGGGGTTGTCCAAGAAACCATTTTTATGCTTTTTCTTGGCCATTCTAGCCATTTTCAAGAATCTCCCAAAAATGGTAATGGGGTTGTCCAAGAAACCATTTTTTTACATTTTCTCTGTTTACTTGGTCATTCTAGCAATTTTCAAGAATGTAGCACCAGCTGAATCTGCATCTGGAAACACTAATTTAGTGTACAAGGGTTGTGCAAAACAGGCATTATCAGATCCATCTGGTGTTTACTCACAAGCCCTTTCAACCCTTTTTGGCACTCTTGTTTCACAATCTTCAAAATCCAAGTTTTACAAAACTACAACTGGTACTGGCCAAACTACAATAACTGGTCTTTTTCAGTGTAGAGGTGACCTTTCTAATATTGATTGTTATAACTGTGTAAATGGTTTGCCAATACTGATTGACAAGCTCTGTGGCACCCCTGTTGCTGCAAGAATCCAGCTTTTAGGCTGTTACATGCTCTATGAAGTCTCTGGTTTCCCACAAATCTCAGGAATGGAGATGTTGTACAAGACTTGTAGTGGGAAAAATGCACCAGGGAGTGGATTTGAGGAGAAGAGGGATACTGCTTTTTCCACACTGGAAAATGGAATGTCTAGTGCTAATAATGGATTTTACACATCAAATTATGAGTCTGTTTTTGTTTTGGGACAATGTGAAGGGGATGTAGGCTCTTCTGATTGTGGTGAGTGTGTGAAAAGTGCTGTCCAAAGAGCTCAAGTTGAATGTGGTAGCTCAATTTCTGGCCAAATATTTCTTCATAAGTGCTTTGTCAGTTATAATTATTATCCAAATGGGGCTCCCACAAAATCATCATCATCTTCTTCATACTGGTCTCCATCTCCTTCAGCAGGTACTTTTCCTTGAATTGATTGCTTAGCTAGCGTTTAGTCATAGATTTCGAAAATTTAATTTGACCATATATTTTGGATCAGATTTTGAGAATCCGTCTTCATAAGATTTTCAAAAGTCCCAAAAACTAGTCCAAACCATATATGTTGCTTAGCTAGTGTATAGTCCAAGTAAAATGCATGTTCAAACACGACTTAATTTTCAAAAACTCAACTTTTCAAGTTTCAACTTCAAAATTTATGATCAAACGAGAGCTAAACATGTTAGACTGTGACAATGGTTTCTGGTTTAATTTGCAAGTGTTAACACTCTAATCAAGATTTTGTCTTTCTTAGAATTTTTGAGCTGTCTACCTCATTAAATTAGTTGTATACTTCAATAAAAAATGGATCTTGGAATAAACAAACAAGGAGCATGATAAAATGTGTTTTTTTTAATAATATGTCACTGTTAACAAGATGTTTGTCTAACTTAGATTTGTGTGCTCTCATTTCATATTTTTGTTATAAAAAAGTTGTATAGTAATGAGAATTGTGTATGTTCAATTAATGTGTAGGGACAGGCCAAAACACCGGGAAGACAGTGGCCATAATACTAGGAGGAGCAGCAGGAGTTGGTTTTCTAGTCATTTGCATGCTCTTTGCAAGGAACCAAATGAAGAAACATGATGGTAAGTGTATAGTAAAATTTGGGAAAATAATATTTTCGATCTCTCGATTATTGGTAAATTATGATTTTGATCCTCGTGATATATGGCTCGACTTGTCTGTCTAACCTTCACTTAGGACTAAAATTAGAATTTATCAATAACTGAGGGACTAAAAATGTTATGAACTCTAAATTTTTTCTATGGTTAAAATATTGCCACTTGCTTATGTTATGATTTAAATATTTGTTGCAGATTATTGAAGGGATCAGCTGTGTATTATTATTATTATAAAAGGCTGGCAAAAACTTTTTGTAAGGTGGATTCTTTCCTTGTTAAGATTTTCTTCCTAGAAGAAAAAAGAAGGAAAATTTATTTTCTTGGAAATTCCTGAAAAAAGTGAGGGAGTTTGTGAGCTGTAATTCTTGGAATTATTAGGTGAAAGAGAAAAACAAAAATACTATTTTGGGGACATAAATTTTTGGAGAAATGATGTAACAATACATGTTTTTTGTCAACTAAGAAAATTGGAAAGAGCATTATAATGTTTTTTGGCATTTTTCTCCTATGGCCATGTGCATGTTGTCTCTTTTCTCTTTGTCTCTGAATAATTGTTTCTCCCTTTTTTTCTTCTTCTAAAGTTTTTTTACTTTTTAGAAAGTTCTCAGTGAGTGCATTTCCACTTGTATAATATATACAATAACATACTCAGTGTGATCTTATAAAAGAGTCGGGGTAGGGTAGATGCATGCATGCCTTATCCTATCTCATAAAGAGGTTATTCTCGATAGATGCTCGCACTTGTATAATATATGAATTGAAAAATAATTTATGTTACTTGGTTCAATATCCAAGAACAACATTGTCATTTGGTGGGCTTCCCTACAAGCTTATGAATGTATATACAATATGGCATGGCCCTCAAGGCCTAGCTCAAGTGACAAAAGGTGGAGGATTTGTGGCTTATATCGCAGGTTCAAGCCCTCACCATGCAAAACGAAGCCCGGTATTTAAGTGGAGAAGGGTAGAGGGGAGGACCCATTATCCACCGAGTTTCGAAGGCTGTGATTGGTCCAAAGGGAAGGTCACAGACGGATTTTTCGGTTATCAAAAAAAATAAATGGTCATGCATATACATTTTGATTATGATACCAACATGAGTTGTGCCCGTTGCGGTGTAATGGTGGAACTGCTCCACCCTTAATCAGAGGTCCCGAGTTCGAGTCCTGAGTAAGAAGAAAATCAATGTGGAATGCAACTTGTGTAACTTATCTTTTCCTATTTCTACTAGGAAAGTCATTTTCTTCATTTTTAAGGAACTTATTTTCCAAATTTTTTATCAATCAAAGCATATTCTAGAATATTTTCCTCCGTATCGAACACACCCTTGATTTCACCCCTTTTCAATATAAGAATCTTCTTTTTCCCAAAACTGAGCTATCCTTTTCTTGTTTATGACTCCTTCATGTACCTCCCACTCACATTATGTGTATGTAATAATAGTAATATATGTATATTTCTAAATTAATACTCACGTTAAGCACCATACAATAGTTCTGAAAGTCTCCTAGTGATCTAGGGAATTTAACTAAAAGACTTGTGCTCAGCCACAAGCCAGAAAATTTTACTTGCTATCGCCTGCCAGCATATTCATCGCGTTAGAAGATAGAGAGTCGGGTCTGAGTGGAGTGATAATGCTAGAGATTAAGTGGTCGTTGCAAATATAATCCGTTATTTAAACATAATGTTAAAGAAAACCATTTGATATACCATTAACCATGGAAATGGAAGCCTCAGAGAAGTTATTCTGAATTATCAACTTTTTAATTGACCTGAATCTCCCAAGAACATAGTTGAAATGACAACTTCTTTCGTTTAAACTCTCCAGAAGATCGGTTCAGCAACCCAACTCATCTATCTATAACAACATAATAAGGTATAAAACAATACATTATGTGAAACAATGAGAAACAACAATCCGAACAGGCTGTAAAAGGATAATTACCTCAACTTGCACCAGGTTATCATTCTTGAATGTCAACTCTTGGGATGTGAGCAATCTTAGGCCAGTCCTCTCCTACTTCCTCCTGGCACCTTTGCTTTAGGATTGATGAACCTCTTTTAACAATTAGCATTTGCAATGCTGCGAGAGATCGCATGCCTTCTGGCAAGGATGTCAACATTGGGGAACCATAAATGTCCAACCGATTAAGGGAAATGAGGTCGCCTATCCATTCTGGAATTGTTGCAAAGTTAGGACATAACCAAATGTATATTGATTTCAAAGTACCTGAGAAATGTTGGAGCCAAACTGGAAGTGTCGTTAGCTTGTCAAGCCCGAAAACTGTGAAAGTTGACAAGTTCCCCGGGGCTTGAAATTGCATTGCCTCATCGCTGGACAAGTCGAGCTGAGGGCAATTGTCTATACACAAATGCTCAAGGGAACTGAGATGAGTTAGACATGTGGATAGAGAGACCAGGTTTCTGCAACTTTCAATGTACAAGGATTGGAGCGACACCAGACTCTTTAACACATCCTCTGGCATAGTTACTAGGCCATCAACATAACCTAGAGTCAAATTATTCAAATCACAAAGAGGAGAATGGTGATGCGGTGGGCAAAGAATTTGCTTCATTATCTTCTCATTTATTGCCCGCAATTCAAGTTGTTTTAGGGAAGAGAAGTAGCATTCATCTGATGGTAGCATGAATTTATCATCACCTTCAAGTCCATCGATGTTCTCTACAAAGTTGAGATTCCGTAGTACAAGCCTTTGGAGAGAAGGCAATTTCCATAGCGGTGGAAGCTTTTGGCATTTAAGGCAATATCCTATATCTAGATAAACAAGCTTGGGTAGCAAAAATCCAAGATTCTCAACCATCAACCAACTTGGAAACCTTGACCCGCTATAATTTTCTATTCGCAAGCTTCCAATGTTTTGGTGCGGCTGCAGGGCCTCCAACATTATCAGATCATCTCCAGTATCATCATTCTCATAGTTCCCAAATTCGAACTCTACATTCAGCTGTCGAAGATGTTTCATTTTTTTCACTACATCTGTCAGTGTTATTTCTCCAATTGCACAGACTCGTCCCATGAACTTAATGGTTAATCTATTTCTGAGATCAACGAGGCCTTTTAGGTCATTCAACCTGTCACTTGCCAGACCAGATATGCAACTTTCTTTGCCTATGATAAAATCTGTCAATGTCCGTAGAGACGTCAATTGGCCAATTCCAGGTGGCATATCTTCCAGGTAAAAGCAATAATTAAAATCCAAATGCATGAGACTTGCCAACTGCCAAAGTCCTGGTGGAATATGGGTTAATGAGCGGCAGAATATACATTCCAAACGTCGAAGGCTCACCAATCTCCAAATATCTCTTGGCAACTTTGTGAGTTTATTGCAATTGACCAACTTTAAAATTTGTAAGTTATGCAATTTTGTGATGGAATTTGGTAAAGTAACAATGCTCATAGAAGAAATAGCAAGGTATCTTAGATGCTTCAGTCCACCTAAAGATTGAGGCAAAAGTTCTATCTGCAGCTCACATAAATGTAGAATGCGCAAACGTTCAAAACTTGAAATCATTCTCTCCAAGGTTGAATTGCTCATGACACTCTGTGGGTAATCATTTAAGTAAATCATTCTCTCCAAGATTGAATTGCTCATGGCACTGTATGGGCAACAATTGAAGTAAATAAATGTCCGCAACTTGATATGCTTCCTATAGAAGTCATTGGGAAATACCAATGAACCATCGATCTGGAATAAACAAGACGCATGGAGAGTTTGTTCTGGTACAACTTCTGTATCTTCAGTTTTAGTGATACTGAAGAATTCCCTATCTGCAACTTCTTTCGCGAGATCATGAATAAGATCGTGCATTTTATAAAAATGCTGGGATTCATGTTCTTCAGTTTCTTGAAAGAGCGGAAACGATTCATGTTCTTCACTCTCTTGAAAGAATGACCTTCTTAACAAATCCATGAAATATGAATTTGCAACATCCTCCACATTATCTCTGTTGCTAATAGTTGATTGAATAAAGCCTTGAGCAATCCACATATCAATCAAATCAAATCTCTGAATTTTGAAATCCTTTGGAAAGAGGGAACAATATGCGAGGCATATCTTTAAATGCTGAGGAAGGTGATTATAGCTCAATCTCAAAATGGCCATTACATCGTTGCTCCCTCTTGTGATACTTGACAAATCTTGATTCTTGAAATATATCCACTCATTCTCCGTTCTTTTGAGGCGTAGTAGGCTTCCTACTGATTTTATTGCAAGAGGAACTCCTCCACACTTTCTCACAATTTCCTTTCCTATTTCCACCAAATTCGAATTTTTGCTCTCTTTGTTACATTCAAATGCCATTTTCTCAAACAATGTCCATGCCTCTTCCTCTGAAAGGTCCCCTAATTTATGTTGGTGAACACTTCCTGAAGCTTCCGCCACCACATCTGAACGAGTAGTCATTAAAATCTTACTTCCCTTGGCTCCACCAATCAACATATTCTTCAGTTTCGACCATTTCAAGGTATTTTCGTTCCACACATCATCGAGCACTAGCAAATACTTCTTCCCATCAAGCATTTTCGTAAGCTCATTTTGCACTGTATTTAGTTGAAGGTAATTAGCCTTCTCCCCTCCTGCAGATTCGACGATTTTTTCTGCAATCATTTTCACTTCAAAACATCCGAAACACAAACCCACAATCTTTTATCGAAATTCACCTTAACCATTTCATCATTATACACCCATTGTGCCAGAGTGGTCTTTCCTAGTCCCCCAAGACCAACAATTGATATAACCACAACATTCTCTTCAACCTCAGAATCCAAAAGAAAATCCACAATTTCCTTTTTATCAGCATTCCTTCCAATCACTTCTCTATCAGGCACAAACGAATAAGTCTCTCTATCCAAATTCAATTGGACTGAATTAGGCTCCAGAAGCAAAGGTTGCCTCATTTCAACTAGATCTAAGGAGGCCTTATCTTTTGCAATTAGATCTAGGTTTTGTCGAATGGCCTTGAGTCGATGACTTATCTTGAGATTATAAAGCACAGGGTTTAATTTTGAGAAGAAGATGCCTGCCTTATTCACCAATTTTCGACGTGTAACCTCAGTGGCGAAGTCATCCAAGAGATCATCAGCCTCAAAGAACACTTTTTTAAGCCTCATTATCCAGTCCTGTTAGGATCGAAATAATCAGGTGTCATGCCGAAGCTAACAAAGCAAACATCGAACGATAAATAGAGATATATCAAAAGAAAGATAATAATTTAGCATGGTCCTATCAATTGATATATGTCCACAGGAGAAAATGAGCAATCCATAAAAAAGGCATAATATATAAATATTCCCGCTATTAAAAGAAAAAGCTTATATCTACTTTTCCTATTATATAACCGGTCCCATCTCTCTCCAAACCTAACGTGGTAGTTTCCCATCATAGGGCTTTCTATCTATAGATTAAGCCATTACCAAGGAGCTAATTCGTTTAAAACTTAGTTGAATGCTTCTATAGAAAAGCCAGAGCGTCCTAGGCTCAACATTATAGCACATAGGGCTTCGACGCTATTACAACACCTCGCTAAAACTTGACTCATATGGTATCTATGTCCTTCAACTTTTAGTGTGCATAAGTAGATACTTAAACTTATATAAAGTTGAAGAAGTAGACACACATCCTACTAGCATAACACACGTACAATGCCATGTAGGATGTGATTTCTCATGTAAGACGCCAAGTAGAACGTGTGTGTCTCTACTTGTTTAACTCTATACTAGTATAATGCACACCCAAAAATTGGAGGACATATAAGCCAGATAAAACTAAGTTAAATGACATGTTTACGTATTAGGAGAGTAAGAGGTTCACACAAATGATAGAGTAGCCACTTGTTTTCACTTAGACAATTTGTCGAACACTTGATGAGCATATGCTCCAAGATTCTTTAACAATAACATTTCTCCACACCCATTCTTCCTCCTAGCTCATACATCACACAAACCTAAAACATCCCCATATCCCTCAACTCATACTAATTGCTTAACTTGGACTCAGCATGACACCTGATTATTTCGATCCTGATAATCATAACAAAATTAAGGAAAACATGTAATATATTCCCTCACCTGATGGCTACTCCCCTGCTGCTTCTCTGCATCAATAAGTACGGCTTGGATAGAAGAAACTGTAGTAGATAGCTTGTGAAGCTCATTGGCTACTCCGTAAATGGATCCTACTTGTTGAGCAGCAAGAGAACCCAAACTTTTCAAGATTTCAGCAGCGAGCTTGTATAGAATTGTTTCAGCCATTATGTATGCTAGTGGGAACTGATCCTGCAGAATTAGTCGAGATGCTTGAAAACTGCGAGTATATGATTTCGAAAATGAACTATCTTGCAAAATTTTATGAATTAAAAGTTGATTATACTTAACACAATTCATCAAGAGTTGACGAAGACTTCTTCCTCATTACAAATGACACATCATCAAGAGTTGCCGAAGACTTCTTCCTCATTACAAATGACACATTATGGAAAAAATAGTCAATTATTAAAATTGCAATTTTTTCTTTTACTATAAGTAATGCAAAAATTCCTTATACAATGATTAATACTACTATTTGATTAAAATAAAAATATATTTTAAAATATTTATTTTGAAGCTTTGGCTCTATCTGTCATCTTTTCTTTTATCTTTTTATGTGGTTTCTGATGTATTGAAGTTCGATTATTTTGAATTCAGTTCGTGTAGAGCCTTATTCGAATGAAGTGCTCTTTACTATGAAAAATTTCATATTCATAGCTTGTACTAAGAGACCTCTAGTTAAAGCTGAAATAGTCTGGTACCACATCCTTCACTATTACCTTAGTGCTCTAATTCTTAATTATAATTTGGATTCAACAAATACAATACACATTAGTATTATGCTGAAAAAATTATGAGTAGATGTTAAAAGAGAAAATCAGATCTATATACAAACCAAAATTAAATCTGTACATTATTCCTCATAAACATCAAGATGAGGATTCATAATATCCCAAAAATATAAACAAAACAAAAAAAAAAAAGTTTAACAAAGCATTGCCCATTGTTTCTTCAAGGGCTAACACAATGAACAATCATAGAAATTGAAGCCTCAGAGGAGTAATAATTCTGCAAAATTGGCAACTTTTTAATCTCAAACTTTTCACCAATTAATTCACTTTTTGGATTTGACCCTTTTGCTGAAATTGATTCCCTCTTCAACAACTTTGAAAATTCAGTTGCCCAAATATTTATCAAACCAGACATTTTTCTGCAATTTTCTTCCTTTTTTTTGATGGTTTGAAGTATTATCACAAAGTGACCTGTTTATATAATGGTGAAGTTTTTTTTGCAGCACACAAAATTTAAGTTTGTGTTGTGTGCGGCTTCCTGTTTTCTATTATATTTTAAAAATAGGAAAAATGACAAATATACCTTTGATATATATTTAGAGGCGGAGTCAGAATTTAATTTTATATTTTAAAAATAGGAAAAATGACAAATATATCTTTGAACTATCGTAAATGATACGCAGATACCCTATGTCATATTTTTAGCCCATTGATGTTTCTGTCATCCAAAAACTAGAGCATATATGCCCTTCACTCTAACTGAAGACTAAATAATGACACGTGACGTAATCTTATCTGTTGATCCAACATTTAATAAATGTCAGGTCGGTGGATAAGATTATGACATGTGTATGTCTGTTAGTATAAAGAGTATATATGCTCTAGTTTTTGGATGGCAAGGACATCAATACTCAAAAATATGACGAAAGGTATGTATACCATTTACGATAGTTTAGAATATATTTATCATTTTTTCCTTTTAAAATTTAGGATGATTTTAATCATTAATAATTAAGTTATAATTTTGATATTTATATATATATATATATATATTTGATAAATTTCTTGATATGAATATATTATTTAAGTAAAAGCTATTAGATTATATCATTCGTATCCGGGCTTCTAGCACCGATCCCAAATATATTATACTGAAAATACTTTACTATGTGTTCTAAAACTGTGACTCCAGAGTAGTATACGTGTGAATTTTGGCACACGTGGCATGCATTATTGGTTATTAAAAAAATAAATAATATTAATTCTTCTTGTTGGCGGTTCAAAATCGAATTAATAACTCAATAATTTTTTTTTTATAAAACCATGAAATAACAGTTAACCCAATAATCGAATAAAAATAAACCAATAACACTTTTTTGATTCGGTTTATCGATCGATTTGATTTTTTTACACCGACTAAAAGATCTCAGTATGTATGGTAAAAAGTTTAGTTGTTTTTAATGAGAAAATAAAATTTGAATAAAAATATTTGTAATTAAAAAGTCAAAGAAATTTAAAGTTATACAAGTTCATATACTCGATAGGGAGTGTTTTTTCTTCGAATAGGATATAATATGAATTTAAATTAATTAAATTTTAATGGAAATATCGAATATTAGATGAAAAACTTGGGATATTGTCCTACAAGACAAATGCTTTGGAGTTCGATTTTTATAACTTATAATTTCAGGACATCATAAATAATTGTAACTAAACCTACTTTAGGTTTGATTCATATATAATATTAATATATACTTACTTTAGGTTGGATATCGATATGAAGTAAAATTACTATGAATTTGAAGTTTTTTTTAGCTATATATAATTTGAAGTTTTTTTTTTCGTAAATAAGATATTAGAATATCCTAAGATAATGTATCAATAAATTATATATCTTCATTTTTTTTATAAATAAATATTTTTAATTACAAACTTTCAAATAATATACTTTTTTTAAAAAAAATAATCACTCCTCAACCATCAAAATTTAGAGATTGCATAACATAACAGTCAAAAATGTTTTTAAACAAATTGAATATGTAGATTGTACAACATTTACTTTGTAGTCTAATAAATATTTATTACTATCAAATTGATCTATATTAAATACTTGAGTATAATATAATTTTATCATCAAATTATATTGCAACTTATCTTAAATTCAACCAAAATCTTTTGGTTATAAATAGCAAACATTACTTTCACATGTATCATCCATATATTCAAAAGTCTAAAAAAAAAAACTATATATTTGTATAGGCTAGTTTTATTATCTCTATTTGTATATTTTTGTTTGAATAAGTCGAAATTATTGTAACGATTTAGTAATTTTTTACCAGATGATAAGCAAATGGATAGCTGCTTGAAGGATTGTTCAGCAAAAATTTGCAATTAGTTTAATAGTAAGCTAGAAAAGATTCTTGATTAATCAAATGTAATCAAGATTTATGTTTTTAATGAAGTACAAAATTACTTTTGAATTTTCCATATTTTTTTATTTTTTAAAAGATTTTTTTTGTTATTTTATTTGAAAAATCAGCGTTAAGGGCTTTTTGATTCAAGAGCTTACTTTAGTCTAAGAAATTTTATGTGCATACAAAATTTATTCCAAAGTAATGAATGTAATTAAATGCTTAGGGGTTGATTGGTTCAAGAGCTTAGGTGGTTTATCTCAATTAAATTAAATTTATTCTATATTTGATTGGATGTATTAGTAAAATTGATAGTAATATTAGGATTATAATCTAAATAACTTATCTCACGTATGACATAAAATATCTAAGTTATAAAATCGTGATTTTAATTCTAAAATTATAATTGGTATTATCTCGATTTCAAATCAAACGATTTCTTAGAATATGATGTAGATCGACCTTTAAAATATGGGATCCCCTGAAATGCTTCCCATCAAATTGTATGTGCGACCAAAGTAACAATATCAACATCAATAGTTACGACGATAAATTAAAATTCGTGAGAAACTCAAAGAGAATATCAGACATCTAACAAAAATAATAATTAAAATAGAGTTAAAAGTTTGGGTGGTCTTTTAAGCATGTGTGTGGGATGGGGTGTTTTCCAAAAAGGTATTTGACATCCATATTGAAATTTGACTAAATTTAAATTTATCCATTACGAACTCTATTTTTAAGGTGAAGTGTATAATATCTTCTTTTTCTAGGAGTCAGTAATATTTTAAGGTACATACTAAAAGTTAAGTGCAAACATAACTTTGATTAGAAAAAGCAAAAGAAAAAACTTTTAATGATCATAAATGCCATGTCCTTAATCTTTTACTAAACACACGTGCGATACTTGACAACTCGTTCTTACACAACTTGTTCACCATCTTACTGTGTCAAGTTAGCATAAAACTTTAGAAATTGCTAAGAGAATGGTACAAAGAACACAAGAGGATTGCTAATAAGAATTGTGTTGTGAAAAATTTTGATTGAATTTTATTTAATGAATTTACAAATGAATGTCCCTCTATTTATACTATTAACTTAGGATCTAATAATTAAATAATAATGATTACATAAATCCCTACATATTTACAAATAAGCCTATTTTTTAGAATACTCTATACAACTAGAATATTCTAAGGACTTTTCATGTAAATCTATGATATTCTAAGAGGCTACAAGAAAATAATTCACATAGCCCTAGAATACTCCATTAAATACTACTCCCTCCGTTTCACAAAGAATGACCTCCTTTCCTTTTTAGTCAGTTTAAAAAAGAATGACCTTTTTCATTTTTTGGTAACATTTTTTCGTTTTGCTTTCCATGTGGCATGTTTAAGACCACAAGATTAAGGGCAATTTTGTACATTTGACATAACTTTAATTTAGGACCACAAGATTCAAAAGTCTTCTTCATTTACTTATACTCCGTGCCAAATCAAACCAGGTCATTCTTTGTGGAACGGAGGGAGTAGCTTTCTAGTTCTATGTAAGACCCACACGGATAATTTTGTGTCATATAACACTTACGTAACGCTTATATGGTCTGATGACATGACGGGTTGTCACCTAAAACTCCAAAAAGTAAATATCACAAAATCCAGTCAAATCTTGCTAGCATTTACATTAGTGGTCAATTTCTTATCATTTTGTATTGATGATAAATAGTTTAAAATAGTCATTTGTATTAATGATATATAGTTTAAAATCATTACTACTAAGAAATCCAATTTCTCAAGTTTTTTTTCATTAAGATATCAGAATATCCTAAGGTATTAATCACATATTTTTATAATTCTTTTATAAATAAATATTTATGATTCTAATATCTCAAATAAACATAATTTTATAAAAAAATCACTATTAGAGAGTGCATATATAATATAACATTCAAAACGTTTTAAACAAATTAAGTATGTAGATTGTACTACATTTACTTTTGTAGTCTAACATATATTATCAAATTCAACTCTATTTAATTATTTGGGTATAATATAATTTTACCATCAAATTATATTGCAACTTGTCTTAAATTCAACTAAAATCTTTGGTTATAAATAGTATGCATTACTTTCACATCTATCATTCATCCATATTCAAAAGTCTAAAAAAAATACATATATCATAAGAAAAAAATATGAATTTCACAAAAATTTTAACATTGAAACTTCTTTTTATTATGTTTTATGTAGCAAATAGTAATGTTATTGGTAATAAGTCAATAGTTTCTTGTATGGTTTTTTGTCAACGTGCATGTATGGACAGTCGTCCTTGCCTAGCACAATGCTTGGTGGATTGTAATAAGTGGATGGTTCAATTGAACGCTGCTCCGAATTTAAAGAAGGTATATTTTATTTTTTTTATATCTATTTTTATTCGATAATTTCAAGTTTAATGGCATTCGATATATCGGATTTGTATATAGGTTAATTTTATTATCTCTATCTATATGTTTTTGTTTAAATAAGTTATATTTATGACGATTTTACATTTTTTTAATCTAGATGATGAGCAAATGGACATTTGCAGGAAGGAATGTTTAGCAAAAAATTGTGGTTAGTTAAAAAAAAAAGATGTACTCTTATGTTATTCCTTGATTAGTAAAAGTAAACTAGAAAAGATTCTTAATGAATCAAATGTAATCAAGATTTGTGTTTTTAATGAAGTACAATATTACCTTTATCATCTTTTTGTTATCTCCTAATAACAATATTACCCAAAAAAATTTTAAAATACCCAATTTCTATTAAGGAATTAGTATATTTTTTTCAAACTAGTTGTCAATGTTTCACTTTTCAAAAGTCGGTTTAATTACTTTTTAGAGCTAAGGTAGATTAGATTAATTCATTTATCTAAAATTAAAATTTTAGAAATTTAAAAACTGTATGTACAACAATTACTATAATAACAACCTTCTCATATCAACATGATAAAAAATAATACATCTTACTTCCTCTGTTCATTTTTACTTGTCACAATTTGACTTGACATATCCATTGAGAAAATAATTATTGATATAAGTAATTTATCAAGTCATTCTTATTAAATGATGTCTTGGAAAATAAATATTTAATGTTGAGGAAATATGGAAAGAAAACTATTGTCTTTTCTTGATAGGTCAAAAGTGACAAGTAAAATTGAAAATTTGTTTTAAAATGAGTGACAAGTAAAAGTGAACGTATGGAGTAAAATTCATATGATTTGGCTCTTAAAAGGATAAACTGTGAGTCTGTGACACGTTTTTTTGAAACGGAGGGAGTAATGTAACTTTGATTATCAAATTGTAAGTGCATTTACTTTGTTTGACTAAATATTTTTAGTTATAAATAGCAGTACCTAAAAGTCTACCATCCAACTTCAAGTCTAAAAAACTACATACAATGAATTTCACAAAGGTTCTAATAGTGAGACTTTTCATTATTATTATGATTTTTGTAGCAAATAATAATGCTAATGATGGGAAAAAATTGTCTTGTGAATGGAAGTGTAGACTTGCTTGTCTCTTCAATCCTATTTGCTCAGACATTTGTATAAAGAATTGTCCACATTCTATTTCTTCTAAAGAATTCAATTGTAAACTTGTTTGCTTAATTCAACATTGCTACAAGTTTAAACAAGGTATACTTCTTTTCATATTTTTTTGTTAATTCAACAATCCCCTCCCAATGAGTTAAGTCTAGGGGTGTCAAATGGATCGGTTGGACTGAATTTAAGCTGATCAAAATAGTTGAAAAGGTACATAAAAATGAGTTTGACTGAAATGGACTAAAAACGAGTCTTGGCCTAACCTATCAAATTCTTTCTTAATTTTAATTTATTTATTTATTAATTTTTTGTAAGCACCTAATATTGCATATAACATTTAAACAAAAAAAGTACTTTTAAAATATATTGACGAGATTTCTCAACGACAACAAATCAGCAACATACTCAGTATAATTTCATAAGTGCGGTTTGAAAAGATAGAATCAGTACCATTTCATAAGTGTTGTTTGAAAAGATAGAATGTATACGCAGATCTTACTTCTACTAAATTGACAAGATTTCCTTAATAATAAATATGTAAGTTGATAACCTACCCAACTTTAAGGCGATTGAACAAGTTATATTTTCATGAGTTAATTATGTCACCCCTATGACCCCCTCTCTCTATGTTTGTCTCAATAAGCCAAGTTTATGACTTATTTTTAACAATTTTGACTTTTTCTAGATAAGGAGCTAATGGGAAGCTGCTTCAATGAATGTTCAACAAGAGAATGCTCCTAATTAGAAAGTCATGTACCATTATTCTACTTGTTTATAGTAGAAAAGAATCTTGATTAATCAAATGTAATCAAGATTTATGTTGTCAATGAAGTACTAAGTTTGAATACTCCTTGTTATTTCTAATGTCTCATAAACTCTTGAAATATTTACAAAAAGATCAAGACATCAAATATTGTCTTTCTCAAAGCGTACCTGGTGGTCAAATATATCGCAAGTAGGTTCATATCATCCTATATTCAAGAAGTACACTATTAACAACAGTGATGTTTTAATCAACTTGTGTACACCTCAACTAATATAATGTCTTTGAAGTGAAGGCAAAACACTTCAATTCATATTAACTCACCAGAGTAAAACCTCTTTTCAGATATTGCATACAAGAAAATGGCAAGTCAAGAATATTCTCAACAACTAGGGATTTAGAGATGATATTCCTCATAACCATATCTCTATCAGATTTCTCTAAACCTCTGCTCACAACAAGAGATGTATTACATACCCAAGGCACAGAAACTACATAAGCCAGACCATTATAGGAACTCTTACTCCCTAACAGAGCTTCTTTATATGATCGGCACACTTTCGAAATATACTTTCCCATTGGCAAAAGGTGAGAACCAGGTGGAATGAAATCATCATCCCCGAAGTCTACATCTGAGTGAAGGTTTACGACAACAGTTCCATGCTCAGGGTGAAGTTGGTCTGCAAGAGCATTGAGGAATGGAGAGTGTGGATCCCATAGCGTGTGAGGAAAGATATCTTCCCCGTCATATGCATCGATGAAAACAAGATCATAGAGATTTTTGTTCTCGAGGAGAAACTTCTCAGCGTCTGATTCGTGTAATTGAATCCTCTCATGAACGCCTTTCCATTGAACTTCTTGGATAGGATCAGTAGTTGAGTGTGCACGGCTACCAGATGGAGTCATAACTGAGTAAGATGGGAACCCCATTGCTTGAACTGAGGCTGAGATTACCACAGGGTCGATTTCAGCAATGTACACTTCAGCACCTGATACATTGCAGGGGTTAATACCAAAACAGACATTTGGCAAATTAGTACATCGAATTAAAAGAAGCAATAATTAGTTTCGGAACAAGTACCAAGTCTGTCAAACTAGAAAGTAAAGTTGCAATGCCATTGAAAGGGATTTAAAAGCAGAGAATAAAGTAGTTTATATTCTAGGTAATCTGATATTCATATCTTTTCTCCCAAGAAAATGTTGGACAGAAGTATTATGACTATTATCACTGGTGAAATTCGAAAATATATCCAAGTGGATGGAAAGGAAACACTGACTGGGAGATATGCAATGCAAGAATACAAGCTAACCAAGGTGTTCATTATACAACCGTATCCAAAAAGCCAAGAGTGCGCTTCAGAACTTTGTAATATTTGGAGTAGCAGTGCTTCAAATTCTACTACTACGAACAACAGTCTATCCAAATTTACCACATCTATGTGAACCAAACAAGAACTACAGGGATGAATTTGCGGTATGATACACAAACAATCCTTCATCATTTAAGCCCCTTGTCCTTGTGATCCAAGCAAACAAGAACGAATTTTCTGTATGATACCAGACCACAACCAAGTCCATTCGAGTTAAAAAGGCACTCATTTTTATTATTTATTCTTCCAGCAGACCTCACATCCTGTACATATTCTATGAGAAAAATGAAAGTTCCTTCAGAAACTTGAAAGAATTCAGTCAATATTGTATTTGAGTCAGTTCAGAGGATATCAACTATAGTAGAAGAAATACATAATCTTGAGTTTCCTGCATCATCTCATGTCAGATTATCTTCCCCAAAACTTACATTCAAGACAAGATTTTACATCAAAGGGAGAAAGTATGTGTCTTTAATATCACATCCAGTGATAAGAAGGATTGGATAATAATTTCCCGTTCATACTTTGTCAAATGGCACAATGCCACCAAAAGAATGCTCAAATTCAGAGACTTAAAGAGCAGCAAAGGCGGGAAAAACAGCACTCAGTTCGAACCTTGGATTTTACTTGCCAAAAATAACGGTATGCTCCCTCCGCCATGCCCAATGCATAAAATTTTCATTGTTTTTCTCCCACAAACTGCACTTTCAAGATCGAATTTACAAGATGCAATGGTAGCCAACCCAGCAGAGACCATGCTCTTCACATCTGTAGAGAAAATATAAAAAGATGCAACATTAAAAATGTGAAAGTATGATCATCATGGAGGAGAACTGGCATAAGTACAACACCTTAACTTCCAATAACTAAATACTGTATAAGCACTATTTACTCTAAGGTCATGTCAAGAAGGATCTTGTAAAACAAACTACACTGGACCTTCAACATCCATAAATTCTGTACTAATTGCCACATCTTTTTCTTATCGAAATAACATTTTTAAGAGAAAATGCTTAGGAAATTTATTATGTGCATCAATTCTTACAGTAGACCTGAGGCTAAAAAAACAATTTTGACATGATATACATATTTGAGGTTTGGTGCACAATATGCCTGACAAGAACCATTAATATTGTTTAGAAGTATTCCTTTTCCTCATTTGTGGCATAATCAAATTTAATATGTTTTCTTGCACATGGAATGATATCATTATATTTGTAACATGTTCTTCTATTTAAAACCAAAATGCAAGTGAAAGACAAAAGAAGCTTCTTAGTGTTGAAACCTGAAGTCTGCTAGCTGACGAAGATATTATGGAGGTCGAGGAACATGAAGAAACTGAAAATCCATTCCTTTGGTAAAATATTTCAGCAAAAAACTGAAAACTAAGTGACTAATAATCAGCAGACTGTAAAATTAGTATTTCTCTCACCTCCAATATGGTAATTAATCAGAGAGAACCTTCGAATGTCAGTTTTATTATAAGTAAAGTAAATAATTGCCTTTTAGTGAAGGTTCTTTACTTTCATCTTTCTTCAGTGTGACAACAAACAAAAATTGCACATGAAGAGAGAAAACCATGAAAAGGAACTGGTTCAAGAAAGAAAAAAGGTAGCTATAAACTGAGCAACTTGTATGTTCCCCTTAATGAATAATTCTTCAAGACCTTGTTCATAGTAATACAGCAAAATTAATACTTGATAACGACGACCAACCAACTCAAGAACCAAATGCAAAACTAGGAACAAAAGTACATATTTAAGAGGATCAACCAGCTATTGAAAAGAACCAAGGCAACAATAGTACCATTCATCCCATTTTTATTGTTAGAGCATGACTTGTTCATATGTTCTATTTACATGATTATATGACTGCAAAAGAGCTGCAAGACAGATAATAATAATAACGTGATACATACATGGAACAGCGAGACACTCTGCCTGCTGCATCAAGTAAATAGAACCAGGATGTGAATCCCTATAAGCAGCCATTATTTTAACTGTGCTTTGACGAGTCTCCTCATTAAAGTGAAGATTCCGCCATTGGTAACCAAGAATCCTGAAATCCCCTTCCTGTTCATGTTCTGGATACATCTTTTCATACCTCTTCTGAAGCCAATTCTCTGTTTTTCCCCAATAACAATTTTCCTATTAAAAAAATCATTTTTAGTGGAAATATTCACATCCAATAACAACAACAACAACAACAACAACAACATCTCAATCGGAAGAAGGGAGAGAAAGAAAGACTGAACTGGTTTGGAAGAAGGGTAAGCTACGACAGAAACGACGCCGTTTCCCTTATCGGAAATTGATCGGAAAACTGTGTCGCCACCACCGGAGGTTGTGCCCCACCATTCCGATGAATAAAACCAGTCGCCTTCATCTTCTACAGTTTGTCGAATCGCCGTTGATAATCGTCTCAGCTGCTGCCATGCCAAATTCCGTTTGGTTAACTTCAACATTTCCACCAAAAACCCTCTCTAAACCCCTCTCTATGGAAGTTTCGGGTCTTTTTTAAGGGTCATGTATACCCGAAAAATGTTCAAATGTAATTTAACTACGGCCCTGTAAGAGTTACCTTGCTTTTTATATCATGTAGACTTTCCGATCAATTTAAAGCGTTTTACCTTCAATGTGAAACTTTCTAGCCTAACCAAGATTTAGTTGGGCTCTTTAACTATTGTCCTGGTATAGGTACAAAGCTACCTTTATTAGGAAACATTTTATCCCAATGAGAGACTTCCCGACCAATTTGGTGCGTTTTACCTCCAATGTGGAACTTTTCGACATAATCTGAATTTAGTCGGACTCCTATATGAGTACCGGACACTAGGTGAACAATCAAAAAAAAAATTAACTCCTGCCTATCAAGTATTTAGCTCGGTGGTAGTATAGAGCATCTTTATTAGGAAGCGCTTTACCCCATGTGAGACTTTCCAGCACAATCCGGAGCTCGGTGGTAGTATAGAGCATCTTTATTAGGAAGCGCTTTACCCCATGTGAGACTTTTCAGCACAATCCGGAGCTCGGTGGTAGTATAGAGCATCTTTATTAGGAAGCGCTTTACCCCATGTGAAACTTTCCAGCACAATCCGGAGCTCGATGGTAGTATAGAGCATCTTTATTAGGAAGCACTTTACCCCCAATGTGAGACTTTCTAGCACAATCCGGAGCATGAGACTTTTCGGCGCAAGCCGAAGCGCTTTATCCAATGTAGGACTTTCTGGCGCAATTCGAATTTAGCCGGGCTCCTATGTGAGTATTGGTCCAATGTGGAACTTCATGGTGCAATTAGGATTTAGTCAGGCTCCTATATGAGTATCGGTCCTACGTGAGTACTGGACACTAGGTGGAAAACCAAAAAGAATAAAAATTCAACTACGGTCTATCCCAAGTATTTAGCTCGGTGGTAGTATAGAGCACCGTATCAGTCGTCAAAGTGTAAATATATGGAATTTATTTAATCAGCTATAAGAAAGGAATTGATAACAGGAAAAAATAGAGCAATTGAAAAGAAGAGAGGCAATAAAGACACTAAAAATGTGTTCATTCATAAAGACGTGAAAACTGCATTAAACCCAAAATGAGACTGGCACCATTGTGTCTCTTATTAGTGAGAAAAAAAAATTACATAGGTGATTTAGCTCATACTTCCCAAGCACACATATTTCATCTCTAAATATTCATCCATCCCGTATTTAGAACCTTCGCGGCCAAGACCTGATTGTTTCACGCCTCCGAATGGAGCTACCTCGGTTGAAACTAGTCCTTCATTAACTCCGACAATTCCATATTCGAGAGCTTCAGTAACACGCCAAGCTCTTTTGATGTTTGTTGAGAATATATAAGCAGCTAAACCAGCATTGGTGTCGTTAGCCATTTGGATTGCTTCTTCGTCTGTTTTGAACTTCAGAAGAGGGGCGACTGGCCCAAATACTTCCTCTTTCGCCAAGAGCATCTCACTGTTAACTCCAGTTACGACTGTAGGCTCGTAGAAAGTCATGCCTAGGCTGTGTCTCTTCCCACCAACGAGGACTTTGGCTCCCTTCGAAGTAGCTTCTTCTACAAAAGATTCAACCTTCTGTACTGCTGCTTCATTGATTAGAGGGCCTTGTTCCACACCTTCAGTGAAACCATCTCCAACTTTCATGTTTTGGGCAGCTTTTGCAAAAGCATTTGCGAATTTATCATATATCCCTTCTTGCACAAGTATTCTGTTCGCGCATACACATGTTTGTCCGGTGTTACGGAACTTTGTTGCCAGAGCTCCTTTTAAAGCTACTTCAAGATCTGCGTCATCAAAGATGATGCAAGGTGCATTACCGCCTAGCTCAAGAGACACCTTTTTAACGGTGGCAGCAGCACCTTCCATCAATTTTTTCCCAACCTTGGTTGAACCTGTGAATGTAATTTTTCTTACCTGTGGGCTTGCAAGCAGTGCGTCTCCAATAGCAGGTGCATTTCCCATAACAACATTCACTACGCCCGGTGGTATTCCAGCTTGAATGGAGAGTTCAGCTGCTGCTAAAGCAGTCAAGGGTGTGAGTTCAGATGGTTTTATCACCACTGTACAACCACAAGCAAGAGCAGGGCCAACTTTTCGGGTAATCATAGCCAGGGGAAAATTCCACGGAGTAATTGCACCAACAACACCAACTGGTTGCTTTAAAACAAATAACCGCCTATCTGCTAATGGTGATGGAATGATGTCACCATATATACGCTTACCCTCTTCAGCGGAGAACTCAATAAAACCAGCCCCATAACTAACTTCACCAATGGCCTCTTTCAGAGGTTTCCCTTGCTCTAGTGTCATAAGCTGTCCAAGTTCTTCTTTATGGGCCATTATCAAATCATACCACTTCCTTAAATATTTGCTCCTTTCAGCGGCAGTAAGTTTGCTCCATGAACTAAATGCATCATAGGCAGAAGAAATTGCATCATTCGTCTCCCTCCCTCCCATGCATGGCACATCTGTTATTACCTCCCCTGTTGCAGGATTGTGGACCTTTATAGTCTTCCCATCGTATGCATCAACCCATTTCCCTCCAATAAGAGCCTGACTCCGCAACAATCCAGAGCTGCTCAGCTTAGCAGCAACACTTTGTGTGTCTGTCGTCATCAGTCGCACAGGACCTGAAATTGAGGAACGATATAACATCGCACAAGCAGAAAGAGCCATTCTGGTACGCACACGAATCATTTGCATCAGGGCACCCGAATTCCAACTTCAAGCATCCAAATGAATAAACTGAGAAAATTAAACGGAAAAAAAGCAAACATGTTTTAACAAATTCATATCACTCATCCCACTTTTATGCTTTGCTTTTTCAAAATTCAAAAAAAACGAGACGTAGATTAATAGAGTTGTAAATTGCAGGTTCCAATCAAAATATCCATTAACATACACAAATCCAGCTCCCCAACCATTCCTCAAAACAAAACAATACACCAATCATATGTAATTTCCCAAGAAATCCAATGCCAAAGGTATATCATACACGAGGGCAAAAACAAATTACTGGAGTTAATTTCACACAGTCACTAAACTTTACACATTATATATCAAAAAATCACAATACTATTTCTTGTATAGTTAAAATCACTCAATTAACTATAATTTAGAGCAGTTCAGGAGCCTTTAAGCCAAAATAGCGCGGTTCCTCATAATAATGTCCGCAAATTTGATCAATTACTCTTCGTCCCTTCTCTACATTCTCTACAGACATAGATATACGTTTCACCTAAAGCATATACTTCCAATTTTTTTGCTTCGGTTTTCTCCTAATACTGAATCATAAACATTTAGATTAACTCATCGGAAAGTCAAATTTCCGACAGTTCAGTGATCCATATGCTAAATTAACCCATAAATTACCTAAACTGAATTTCAAAATGAGACGATGAGTCAAGTTCTCAAGCAAAAATTCAACTTTCACAACAATGAAGATTCAGTTTTGACAAAGATAATACGAATAGAAAGTACTAACCTTTTTCGTCGGAGAATTTGGAGATCTACCGGAGAGTGAAGAGAGTGTGTGTGAGCGATGGAACCCTAAAAGAGATAGATGCTACCTACTACCTCAATATTAGTCAACGCAAACTATATATTATAACGATAAATGGAAATATAAATTAATTTGAGATTGTTATAAATCCTACGTGGAAAATATATTAATGTTTTATACAGAGGATATTTAACCAACATAAAATATAATCGTCAAGTTTAAGGGGGTCCCGATCTATTCTGTTTTATATTTAGAACAAATGGTAAATAACACATCTATAGTATCATGTTTTTGTGAATTTCGTAATTGAACTATCAGTTGTACGAGTTTCCTATCTAAACTATCAATCAATTTTTTATCTAGACTTTGGGGGTATGTCTCCCAAATTCTAGCCTATCATTAATCCCACAACACGTCTTGTTGATCAAAACTATGTCATCTACGAATAACATACATCACGACCCCTTTTCTTGAATATGTCGTGTCAATTTCATCTATCACTAAGGTAAAATTTGAACGGCCTAAGGATTGACCTCTGACGCAACCTCATCATGATTGAAAAGTAGTTTGAGTAACCTCCGACTATCCTAACCCGAATACTAACTCCATCATATATATATATATATATATATATATATATATATATCTTAATTATTGTAAAGTAAGTCATAAGTATATCTTTAGACTGCAAACATCTCCAAATGACCTCCTTATGAACTTTTTAGTACACTTTTTCTAAGTTAATAAACATGTATAAGTCTCTCTTCTTATCTCTATACTATTCCAATAATCTCCTTACGATAAGAATGATTTTTGTAATTGATCACGTCAATATGAATTAGAATTGATCCATCCTTTCCCATCCTCATCTTGACCACCCTGTCCCAAACTTTCATAGTATGACTTAGTAGATTAATGCCTTTATAATTATTACAATTTTGAACATTACACTTACTCTCGCACAACAGAAATCATTATTTTCCACTTCTCCTCTTTTAGCATCCAAGTCGTCCTATATATAACGTTAAAATAACTTAATCAACCCCTCCATACCTACTTCATTTCTTTTCTTTCAAAATTCACCAAAATCTAGTCTGACCTGTTTATTTTTTCCATAGCCTAATCAACATCCGCAATACAACTTTTATGCACCTACAATATTCAAAATCGCTATAACTCTCGAAATGCTCTAACTCTCCCAACACCTCTTCTACCAATACTTTGTCATTCTTATTCTCGATACACTTCACTTGGTCCTACTTTATTGACACCTCTATTTGGCACGTTACATTGCGTAAAGAACCAATAAATAGAGACACAAAACTGAAAATTGAAACTTGAAAGCAACCTGCAATTAGTTGACCATATGATCTTTCTTCCATTACCTACCGTACATACTTGTAAAAGCATCAGATTCTGTCAACTTTGCCGAAAGTGCTTCAAAGAGGGACTCTTTCTATATAGTCCCCTCAATTTGCCCCTTTGACCTCTTGTATAATACAAGTATAATAGAAAAAGAAAGCAACCCCTATTAATGATTTGTTTCCATTTTCAAGAATCATTCATAGTGTTTAGTTGAATATTCACAGGTTTCCACTCCTTTTTGTCACTTTCATTACCAAAGATTTCACCTTTTTAAAGATATCTAAAGCCAAACAGCAGCAGGAGGAGAGTTTTGAGCTATTTGTAAAGTTCTGAAGCATATTCTAAGTTAGAACTCAGGTGGGGTTTTGGGGTTGTTGTGATTTCTTGATCTTTTTTGTATATGGTTATGATTTTGCTGTTTTGATCTTATTTGCTGATAAGGGTTTTCATGTTTTAAGGGACAGAGATAGCTGGTTGACTCTTGATAGCTTCTGCAAGTTAAAAGACAAGTAGGTTCCAATTTTGGTTTTTTATGGTTTGAGTATATTGGATTCTGATTTTGGTGCCTTTGCTGAAAAGGGTATTTTGATTTTGTTTATTTTTTGAATTTTGTAAGTGTATCCAAGGGTTAAGGTGAGGGTACAGAAAGAAGAAGATGATCAGTATGCTTATCAGTCTTTGCCATCTTTGAAGGCTTTTGAATCCCTTTCCATAAGTGATTTCTCTTCTTCAGGTACACTTCTGTTTGTGAGGAACCCCATCTTTCATCCTTGTATGATATTTTATTTTTGCTGATATAGCTGAGTATAGTTGTTATCTCATAAAGTTAGTAGCTTTTTCGAAGTAAGGTGATTTTCCGAGATGATAACTATTAGTTGAGTGATCATCTCAGAAACCATCCCAACATAACTTGATCTTTTGGTTGGTTCTTTATAATCATGCAATTAACTTGTGTGTTTTTTTTCTTTTTTGTGATTGACTAGTTTTGGGTTGCTCTTTATCATGCTAGATTAGGGGAACTTATTTGTAAATGAGGGATCTTGATAAGAATCATATCTTTCTATGGCTTTAGTCCAATAGCAAGCCTTCTGGATAATATAATTTTTTGCCATTTAGATTTGTATGTCAGTATACGGACAAATGCGAGGTTTTGAGAACCTCTAATGATGGAGAAATTTCATTTTCCCTTAAAAGACAAATTATTTGCCAATATTGGGATGAAACTAAGTGAAATGGATGTAGAAGTTTATATAGCCAACATCATCTTTGGGATTTAGGTGTAGTTGAATTGAGCAGGCTTTGATTTTTGAGTTGATATGAATGTAAAGAATCATTTTTGCTTTAAATTTTTCCTAGTAAAGGGATTTCAACATGGCAGCATTGTTTTGGATTGCTTTTTAGTTCTTGAAATGATGTATAGTTTGTTATACACAGTTTGTCTAACTAATTGTATTTCGCTTAGTTATATTAGTTACATTTTTCTTTTGCTTATCTTCTTGCTTTCCTTAAACAGGACACATTTTATATGTGGATTTTATTGTAATGTACTGATGCAAGCAAAATGAATAGTGCACGACATCATATTCTCTTTCTCCTCCAAGGATTTGCTACTTGTAAATAATCCTGACATTAGAGCATTTCCATTTTGTGTTTGCTGTTCCTGGACCTCATTTATTTTGAGCAGAATCCCAGCATCGCGCTAGATTGGGAATCCTTCAAGTACTCTCTAGTGTTTGATGATCCTATTCAAATGTTTTAGGCTTACCACCTATAGGGCAGCTTGCTACTATATATAGTTTGATAAGCTAAGTTAGCTTTAGCAGATGCATATCCACTTCTATCTCATTACTACAAGACTGTTTTCTTGACATCTTCAAATCCCTGTTGTTCTTTCTTAGTTGTCACATTTGTTGTCTTGCATAGTGCTCGTTGAAGTCTTTGGTTCATTGGTTTTATTCACAGTATGCCATTTTCAAAACCATGACACAGAGTATAGATGGTTGGATTTAAGCAAAAAATGGGAGTTTGCATATTAACATCCAGCAATAATTTCAACCGTACTATTGTAGTATTTAACTTATTCCGTCAATATGTCATTGCCTTTCCATATCCATCATTTTATTTGTTCTCAGCTCTGATAGTGTCTGACTAGGTCCTTGCTGTTTTCTTTTCTCCTTTGTTTCTTTCTGATGGTGTATAAAGATGATTCTCCTACATCAGTTGTGAGGATACCCCGAGCATGTATTTTAAGCCCAGACAGACATGGGCTTCCATCATCGAGAGGTTACATACTTCTTTAACAACTTTTTGTTACCTCTCACTTTGCAAGTGGATTGACTTTCACTCGGTTGATTGGCAGGGAGAACGAAGGAAAATAACCAAACCATTTTTGGTGGAAGCAAAACAAATACAAGGGCCACTTCTGTCCCTCGACCACGTGCAGTCTTATCAAGCCCTGGTAATCCATAACGAACTTCGCATTATAAAATTAATTCCTTCTTGGGGTAACACAAACTTGGACTTCTACATACTGAATGGTATAGCAAAACCATATTTTTCATGAACGAAGCGTGATGGGAAAAGCCTGAAAATGCACTTGAGAACAATGATTTAATAGCATTTTTTGTGCTTATTGTTAACATTAACATGTAAATATTACATGTCCTGTCTTTGCACAGTTTCTTTTCTGATACCTTAATCTTGTTAATTTGGGGCCAGTTAATGTGGCTGTGTATAAGAGAAGGAAACCCATAATAGGTATGTAGAATAGCTTCTTCTCCATTGTGACTGACTCTGCACTAACATGCCAAATCATACCCTCGCGTAGTTCGCTTGTGCATAGGATATATACTTCTGCTATGCACATAATCCTCATTTAGGTACTGGTTGTCAGTGAGACATCATGGGAAGTTTGCTGTATTTGATTAAGCACGGGTGATCTGACTATTCTCACATCATAATGGACATACCAACGCATCTGACAAATTTGTTTAGACGAGAAACAGGAATGTTGCTGATACATTTTCAAAAGTTATTCTTGATTCTGCACTATTTTGTGAAACTTGTTCATGTGTTTCATCGAATACAGTGCCTCTTGTAAATTTAGAACTGTTGTGCGGGTTACAAAGATAAAACACACTATACATGGTGTATTTCTTGCTGAAAGTATTGTATATTTGTTTACAGTTAATGACCAAATGATAAGCACGAGGAGCAAGACGAAAGCAGAAGTAGTTTCAGACTTGAAGAATCACAATTCATGTCAAAACAGACATCATATCAAGTGCAAAACTTTTCCAAAATCAATTCAAGATTCACATCACACATGTGGAAATAAGGGCTCAAAAGAGACGGATGATGGGAAACTTGATCCTCGAGCAAGAGCAAGGCTAGTGAAAGGTGATCCAAGTCGAAGAACACACCTTCAAGAAGGCGATCAACATCCTGTTCGTTCAAAAGTAAAACAGTAAGCAGGGCTAAGTAGTCAGCTCATTCTAGCCTGCATATACTAATTCGAAAAGTTTGTGAGTGATGCTACTCTCTACTTGACAAAAGTTATAACTAAACTTGAAACTCTTCAAAGAGAAACCTTATTGAGTTGATTCACTTTTACTCTTGATGTTTTCCCTCTTTATGTTCTATGTGACTACACCGATATCTAGCTATAAATTTATATATTTGTATCATAATATTCCACAAGTTATATCGTAAAAGTCATAACAAAAGTATGTCATATGTCCAAAGAGCTTAATATTATCTTTTAAAAATAAAATAAAATTGGTGGCTTATGTCTCAAATAAGTAAGAAACAAATATACAAATTCTGACTAATTGTGTTTTGTTATTCAAATCTCGATTATATTAAAATAGGTATATGTCAGTCCTAAATGAGTTGGGATCCGCAATATGAATCATCAATCATCATATCTCTCCACTAAAGTTTAAGTCGTTTTAATCTACCACAATAACAACAACAAAATGATGAATTAATCGAAGGACAAAAAACTATAAGAATAATGCTAATATATACCAAGTATGAAAGAAAAAACAAGTACAAATCCCACATGAAACATGATCAACTATATATACTAACCGTCTTAACAAAAAAAAAAGTGGTGGTTTAATTGGAGCAGCCCATCAGGCGTTACATGAAACACGATCAACTATATACATACACTAACCGTCTTCACAAAAAAAAAGTGGTGGTTTAATTGGAGCAGCCCATCAGGCGTTACTGGACTTGGAGAGCACCGGCTCGTTATCCTTCCACTGCACAGAGCGGGAGCTGTTCGTTGCTCTGTGAAACCAGCCTCACGCGGTCCACCCCACTTTAGGAATCCAGCAGCCCATTTCTTCAATTGGGCCACGTGATCCAACTCTGAGCTTGGATAGGGCAAGCCAGAAATTAGCCCACTAAGCCCAACCATCTGGGACAGCCCAGAATTCCACCACGTTAATGCCCCCATTTGGGTTACAAGCCCACATTACTGAGCTCGGCGAACAACAATCTCTCCAATTCTATTAAAAAGTAGTAAATGTTCATATTCTATAACGATGTGGGACAATTCCATTTCAGTCCCAAAAAGTAATGTGTTTTTGCTTTTATGTAAATTCTGATACTGCATTTATGTGTCTAACTAGAGTGATAACATTTTCTCTACTAATAACCACTGATTGGGTAACCTGATGAAAAATGCAAACATTCCACTTAATCATAATACTTCCTTCGTTTCACTTTATATGATATTATTTAACTAAATACGAAGTTTGAGAAAGAATTAGTCGAAATATGCACATGCTTCAAGTACTTGATTGGTGGACGTGTCATTTACAAATTATTTTCTCGGAGACAAACCAAAGAGTCTATCGGAAACAACCTCTATATCCTAAAAAAATAGAGACAAGATCTACTTATACTACTAGTATGTTGTTATTATATTTTCTTGGAGAATGTAGAGGTCAACATTTCTATTGATGTAAATGAATTTTTGCACTATAAAATCACACCTAAAAACAATTCAAGTAACCAAGTGCACATTATAGTACTTTTTACGTAAAAAAAATAGTAAATTTAAATTTTCAAACAATATTTGTTACTTCCTCTATCTCAATTTATGCAGCAATGACGTAATTTAGAGTGCCAAATAATATATGTTACTTCCATATTCCCAATCAAGTGTACTCTGCATAAAAACATCTAAGGCGATGTCATCGCTATAGTAGAGAGTGATGACATTCGAGAACAAGCACCTAAATCCAGAAAACAGTGACAGATCAATGATTTGGGATAAAAGCCACATCATAGAGTGTAGGCCTGAGAAACTAAACAAATGTCTCCCTACTTCCTCTGTTGTGTTACAAGCTCTCATAAGGACAGCAAAAAAGAGAGGACGAAGAAATCGGAGTGTTGCAGGGACCAGGAAGTGCAAACTGGGAAACTAAAGATTATGATGAAACCAAATCAGGAGTTTCAGCTTCCACGGATAACAATGCAGTGTGTACTTTATCCACCCAATTATCTAGCCGATCCCGCAATGACTTGATCTGAGGAATGCCCAAAACTCTTGGTTGAACCCATGACACGTGAACAGTCCCTTCCACTTGATCGATTATTCCCTCTATCAGATGTACCTACAGTAACACAACATCAAAACAAAGAAAAACTGTTCATAAACCTAAATTTCGACATGTAACACATCACCATATATCACAGGAAAACTTCGTAGTCTATTAGGAAAAGTAAACATTCAGGGTTTGTGACGAGAAAAAACAGAGAGGGGAACAGAATGAGAAAGGCAAGAACCTAAAACGCATAAGAAAACATATAAAAACTTCTTGGTTGCAACCTACATACTGCTCATGTGGAAGAGCTTTCAGTGGGGGCATAATGTAATAATGAGAATTACTTCCTAGTGACAGTTGGGATATATAAACTGCACAGCAAAAAACTCGACTGATGCCACAACGTAAGAGGTAAGATATAGTTTGATCATTCACTCGAATCAAATGATTTTTTTGTAAGGTTATCCTTCTCAAAGAAGGAGCTGTCCTACTTTTGATGACTTGATAAACTAAGCTATGAAGCTGATCATGGCTATTATACTTCCTCTATCCAAAAGCATTTTGGCAGCCCGCTTAAATTATAAGTTGAGAAAACACATAAATTAGGTGTGCAGAACATAGGGGAAAAAATATGTTGCCACATGACATCCTGATACAATTGTACCACCCAATAACATTACAAAGATGAGCATTTCTTTCTTATGCATGTCTTGGTGCGTGGAAGCTAGTTACAGAGGAGAGATTTATATCTTAATTAAACAAACAATAATTCACTTACAGAGAGACTCTTCATTAAGAGATGCTCTACATCTTCCACGCTAAGCTTAGTGCGCTCTGCAATGGCACTCAATGGAATAGTTCTATCCTCTGCTGGACGACTGCATGCAAATTCTTTCTCCATAAGTTAATGTTCAACAAAAATAAATTACAGAGGTATCACTATATGCAAAATTTCAGCAAAACCTGAAGATGATTTCCATCAAGCACAGAATGTTGATCTTCTCGAGAAGCTTTTTCTCGTTTTGCAACAATGCTGGTTGAGCACTTAAAGCAGCTTGATGGACACGGCACAATTCTTGATAACGAACTAAATCACCAGTGTTGAATGCTTCAAGGATATGATATAGCCATTCAACTTGTGTCCCAACCAAACTCTTTATCTGTTAAAAAGAAAGGATCAAGTCATAATGAGACCTACATAATGTTGCCAAAGAAACCAACATAAGATCACCCTATGGCTCTCTAATATAATCCTCCGATCAATTCCACCACTTATGAACTCTGAAGCCTATTTGATGGTCAAAACTGAATTTATGAGATTTCAGAGAGCTTTGTGCTATGGGTACACTGTAGATACTTTATACTAGTTTATTTTTAGATCTTTTTGATACTTTTTTAGCAAAATCGCCTGTTGGATTAGAATGAGACAAGTTCCCTTGGGGAAGCTCAAGTGGTCAACACAAATACCACCTTGCCAAATAGGAAGAACTCATTAAACCAAATCAAATGGGTGGCTTGGATATGAAAGACCTTCATCTACACAACCAAAGCCTGCTGCTGAAACGGTGGTGAAAATACAACTTTGAAGATGATACACTCTGAAAATGAGTGGCAGATGCTAACATGAAAAATGGATAAGATGGTGTATATAAGCAAACACCTATCCTTATGGGATGGTCCGTGAAAGTTCATGAGGAAGCTGTGGGATAAATTTGGTAAAAGAGAAACCTACACACTAGGAAATGGAGAAAACATATGTTTTTGGCATGACAGATGGTCGGGCCAACTTTCTATAAAAGAGTATCCTCTGATATATACCATATAGCTGCTGCGTCTGATACAAAAAAGGCTCAATATAGAGATAGAAACTGCTCAAATCTTTCTTCTCTTTTTATGATAAGTGGAACTGCAGGAACATCATCCTTGGAGGAAACTGCAATGACTGGTCACTAGAAAAATGTCACATTGCTGGGCAATTAAAGCAAGAGACAGTGAATACCCAAGTCAAGGACAGCCTGAAATGGAAGGGAATTGGTGGGACCACATCAACAGTAAAAGCTTGCTACTATAAACCTAACAAGATCTCATTCCAACAAAATGACAACACAAGATAAGTCTATACAAATCTAGCAACCAGAACGACAGCAATGCTAATTCCTAGAATGGACAGCTTAGTCATATCACAGCAAAGAAGCTTTACAGGAAGCTTTGGAAGCAATGAAAACAATAACAATTATATTACAACCTACAATTTTTGAGAATAGTAGAGAGTCCACTGTGGAAATTTTAACCAAAACTTTAGTTTCAGTTGTATTTTTTGGGTGTAAGGAAACATCCATAGATGGATGGCTTCCATGGAAATTTCTTATATGCATGACATCAACTTCATGTGACATTCAATAGAAGATTTTGACTAATCCAAATAAAAGAAAAATAAAGAACTTACAATAGGATGAGCAAGCAGCTCCCCAAAATTGTATACGTTGTCTCCCAATAATGCTGACAAGGACAAATCAAACGCCAAATCCTAGACAAGATAGAAGAAACAATTACATGGAATAAAAAACCTCAAATATATTGACACTCAACCAATTTCAGATGCATTTTCTTAAAAAGACTGAAGTTACAGAAAGAATTTCCAGATCTCAAGATATGAAAAAATCCTACCCAAAAACGTGAAAAGAATCCCCCATAATCCAGTTTTCTCTATTCAGAGTTTCAGACCAATTTCTCTAATACTAGATAATTTGTCACAATCAAATGCACACAAATTAAAAAAAAATCAACAGCTTATACAGGCTTTATGTCAAAGATTCACTTCTCTTTGGGTACCAAGTAGTATAAAATGCAAGGAGCATAAATAAATTTAAAACGTACTCTACAAGTACCTATTTTTAACACGGATATCTACTAGCAACATTTCTTATCAACCTTCTTCATGATGCCAACAGTACACCCCATTTTAGATCTTATTCAATGTTAGGACATTTGTGCAAAGAGATTTTTTACCAAAAGTACTAAGGCAAGAGAAACCAACATATAGAGGTCAGAGAT